AGTGATAAAGTCTGTGAACAAGCACGAGGAGGACTCCGGGCCCTCCAAGTCATCGTCATCTTCAGGGGGCTCTCAGGATGACCAGCCAGGCTCACCTGAGATTGCCAAGTTCTCTGCCCTGATCACGAGGCCTCCCCGGAGCCAGCAGAAGAAAGGGGAGTCGCCCCCAGTGGTCCCCATTCTCAAGATCAAGGAGGTGCAGAGTGCAGCTTCCAAGCAGAAGGAGGCTAAGGAGACTGCACCAGGACAGCCCAAGGCCAAAGAGCCCAAGGATGTGCCACCACTCAAGATCAAAGCTCCTACCCCAATGCCTGCCAAGGGGCCTTCTACACCCAAGGCAGCCCCCACGCCAAAGACGCCAGCTGCCACTCCCAAGATGCCTGAGGAGAAGAAGTCACCAGGTTGGATGCCTGTTTTGCTCCTCTCTCTTTCTCTCTCTCTCTGTTCGTCTCTTCTCTTTCTCTTTTTCTTTCTCTTCCACTCTTTCTTTTCTTTTTACCATCAGAATACTATAATTATCATAACCCAGTTTAACCCACTTATGACAGGTGTCCCATATGTGAGACACCCAGAAAAGTAAACATTACTGGGGATCCTGCCGGTGTGACGCCAGATCGGAGCTCGCACTCTTATTTTGTCGACCGTGGTGGGCAGTGTTTGTGCAGGTTCCCGGACTTGCCCATGCACCGATTTTGAAGCCGCCCGGAAAATATTATTTGTGGCTTGAAAATGTACTGCACAAGTGGGTTAAGCTGTGTATGTGCTAATGTGTTATATTTAGAGAATGGTCTTTGGAATGATGCCACTACTATACCATAGCCATAAGCTAGCATATTAGTACTAGTGATGTACATAGTATGTATAGGCAAAGTTTAGTTTGAATATTTATGGCTGTTTTAGGAAGTTAACCTTTATAAATGTTCACTTTAATCTCCCTTCATGGAAGCATTCCCTGTAGTTATGTATTGCGATATGTGATTACACAAAGATTGCTCCAGGTATGCTCAACCATGATTTTTTTTTTTTTTAATTCTTGTAGAGCCGTTATGTGTAAAGACAATAAGCCACTCTCAAAGCGGGCATGGCATTTATGTCTACGCCAACCCCATCAGGATTGGTTTAAAGTAGATCCCCTCCCTGTTAGAGATAGCTGTTGAGTCTTTCACTTGGTATTTTTATTGGTTTTATTAAAGTTACAGTTCTAACACAGTTAATGATAATCAAAAAGGAAATATCTGTATCAGTAATAACTTTAACTCACCTGGTTTGCCTCCAATTCCAGGAAGCAAAAAAGTCCGGGAAAAGAAGGAAAAGAAGGAGAAGAAGGCAAAGGAGCCCAAGTCAGCAGGACCAGCCATGCCTAGTGGAGCTGGGCCTAGTTCCATGCCTGCCAGCAGCCTGGACGTGGCCCTCAATCCTCAGGTGCCAGCCGTGCCACCCCCTATTATGTCGCCTCCCATAGACACACCCAAGAGTAGCAAGAAGCAAGAGCAGAGCACAGGACTTCTCACAGAGACTGTTGGGCCTATTGGGCATTTTGTGGTATGTTTTATTCCTTTTTCTTTGTTTCTCTTCTCTTCTCCTCCTCTTGAACTTTCTGTGTGGTTCTGAAAGCTCTGAGTTTGAAAAGAGGCATTCCTCTCCTCTCCACTCCTCTCTTTTCTCTCTCCTCTATGTGTGTATGTGTGTTGTGTGTGTGCGCGTGCGTGCGTGTGTGTGCGTGTGTGTGTGTGTGTGTGTGTGTGTGTGTGTGTGTGTGTTTGTGTGTGTGTTTGTGTGTGTGCATGTGCGCATAGGTCCATGTGTGACAAGATCACCCGAAAAATTATTTTTCTATTCATCTACAGGATGACCAAGGGAATGAGGTTTGGATTTGTCCAACATGTGGCAAGCAGGACGATGGTTCCCCCATGATTGGATGTGACACCTGTAATGACTGGTATCACTGGTAAGTATAGTAGTTTTGTTATTATATTATGTTCATTTTTATTTTTTGGCAATAGCAGTTTATTCTACATCTCTCTCTTTCCACTATTTTCATTATATTCATTAATCTCTCTTACTTGGGGGTATACTTACAAAATCCCACTTTAAGGAGTATAAAGCAGATGTATACCCTCACTTCTTTTTTTTACACATAGTTGTAATAATGTTTTATCAAGCAACTTTGAAGTTGTTAATATATTATGTATTTTACATAAAGTATAATAATCTCTTAAATTTACAGGGTGTGTGTGGGTATTCAGGTTCCCCCCAATGATGATGTCAACTGGTACTGCCCACGCTGCCTCTCACAACACAAGCAGCGCGGGGCACCCCCAGACAAAAAGAAGCGTGGACGGAAGAAGAAATAGGACAGTGTTAGATGGTCTTCTGCCATACGTTGAATTAAGATATTTGTTATTGTTGTCTTTTTCCGACTCAAAGGAGCACACAACTTCACTTCTTCCCCTGTATGTTTCATTGAGTGTCATCTGGGCACCAAAGCCTGGCTACACTGGACTGGGGTTTGGGGTAGCAGCTGGATGTCCTGTCGTCACGTACTGCCACCTCAGTCTACCTCCCAGCAGGCCAATGTGGTGGATGTGGGACCATGAACAGACTCATTTGCATTCAGTGTGAGTGTGTGTGTGTGCGCGCATGGATGTGTTTGAGCACATGCATATTTGAATGTTCTTTTGCCTGGACTTGGTTTCTCCATTCAGTTACTCAGTGGTCCTCTTGATTTTCATTTTTATTTATCTTTTATTATTTATTTTTTACTAATTCATCATAATGTTCCTTAGATCTTCCCAACCATGTTCCCCTTCTACATCCATTGATGGACTTGCGTAAAGTACAAGCATGCGGCCGTGCTCAGTAAGATTGGCCCAAAAGTTGTGATATGTAGTTCCCCTTCTTTGTTGGTCTCCCCCTGTTACACAGATTTTATATCATAGTAAACTTGTGACAATTGAAAGTAGTTTGTTTTTTCTTTTTTGCTTTCTTTTTCTTCACTCTGTAGAAGTTGCATTTGCTTTTATTGAAAAAAAAAGGAAATGCAAAATTGTAATATGTTGCTCTTGTGATTTTAAAGGAATATAGTCAGGATCATAGCAGCAAAAAAGAACACTTTGCACAACAATAATACACTTTTATCCAAATTTTGGTACTTAAGTTATATATCAGTAGTATATAAACAACGAAAGGAATTGTTATTATTAATATTTCTTTTATTTTTATTTTATTTTATTTTTTCCTGAACACTTCTAATTACAAACTCTTGTTTAAAGAGTCTTCCATGTGCCTTCTAAAGGTTCCAATTTTATTTTTATAGCATTTCCAAAGACTTTATATATATGTTGGAATGTATGTATTATTTCCTTTCACCTACTTACCCTTCCTACATATTAATTCACACCCCCAATTATTCTGTAGTCTATTTATGTTATCCTTGATATTTGATTTCTGGTCCACTTCCTCCCCAAAATATATAAATGTATCTTCCCTCTATGTTTTTTCTCCATCCCCAATTTTCTTTCATAATTCAGTCAAGCTCAATTTACTCATAAGCCATTCACAGACTATCCCATAACTCAAATCCAAAACCTTGATCCTACTTTACAGCTTCCCTCCCCCTCTAATATAGAAAAGAAAAGAAAAGAAAAAAAACAATAAAGTTTTATATAGCCTTAGGATATGTTTTTAAAGTGAGAGAAATAGCTGCATTTACGCTTCACATTTTTGGGCTTCTTTCTTCGTCTGCTGTTGCAAAAGTGCGGTGTCCCAGTCTTTGGTATTTATCAGAATTGAGAGACATGCCTTTTTATGTATTTATTTATTTTTCATATTTTTTACATCCGAGTTTTGCATCATTAGCTCGACAACCCAGTGGAAGTCTTAGTCATTTCATTGAGGAAGCTGTTTACTGTTCTTTCCAAATGCTGGCAATTCACAGGTCCCACAGGACATTCAGAAAAGAGAATAAATGTTACTATGCACACAGTAGTTCTTCCCAAAGTTATACTTCATAATTCTTTTTTATGGCCTGACAAATTGTAAAATAAAGGGAAAAAAAAATAAAAAAAGAACAGGTTGATATTTTTGTTACCATTATAGCTCTAGGGATTAAGGAGTGGTTTGCTGTGGAATTCCTTCCCTCTGGGGGTAAGGGTAGGCTAGCACTATACAGGTTTTGTGTATCATAAAAGGTAGAGATATTAATAAAGACCTGTATGATATTGTGTGATTTTTGCCATGAGATGCCCTATCCCACACCCCTAACCTCTGGGCATCAGTTATTTAAAAATAAAGAACAGTTTTACAGTTCTAAAAAGTACCTGCTTTGAATCTATGTAACTTTATTGAACATTATTATTGTTGCCTCTTCTGGTATTTGTTTATTATGACTTTGTAGATATTTGTAATTAAAGTATAAATACATGTGAGAAATATGTACAAAACTTTACATCATTTTCCTTATTAAAGAATAGCAAAGCAATGTTGTTGTTGAGGTCATTTAACTAATATAAAGATATACCTCATAAGAAAAAATTGTCGACACTTAAGAGAACACTGATATGTGTCTTCTTAATTTATAGGATTATTTTAATTAAACAGAAAAAGAAATATAGTATTTATTTTTTTTACAGAAAAAATCAAATAAATTCTAGAATGGATTTGGTGGCATTTCTGTCACATAAATTTTCTTGGAGAGACTGAGTTTCGGCAGAAGGAAAGCCCTTGTTATGGTGTCAATTTCTTCCATTGCTAACTGTGCATGGAGTCTAACAACATCGTCTGGATCTGTAGTATATACTAGTCGCAGGGCTCGATATAAATCCCGTATTACATCCTTCAGCACCTGTGGAGACATATGAGAAGATATTATATGTAAAATAATCAACAGATTTCCATTTTTTGTGACACTGTCCAAGGTCCTTCATGGAGTGTTAGTTTTATCCATTTTAAGCATTAAAAATAAAAAATAAGATCATAAAATTATTTTCATACAGCTTCCTTTACATATTATCAAACAGGCTTATTTCAAAGCATGTCATACCACTTAGTAAATGCTACCATAACATTTCATTAAAAGTCCCTTCTTGACGAAATAAAACATACTTCATGCCCTTGGGAAAATGTTCTGTTCACTGTAGTATTGTTTTGTTAAATTCTCTAGTCATAGATGGCTCTGCAAGGAGTCAATTAGTAGACCTGATTTCACCTTTCCTTAAATTTGTGGGAAAAATGTTTGTTTGTTTTAACTACTGCTATATTGATACTGTTACTTTTATCAAAAACATCATAACTGCTATAGTGTTATTGACATTAATACCAGCAATATCCAACACCAGAAAATATTATCGAAAATCAAAGAAAATGGTTAACAGGTGAGACTGGTAGTTCTCATAATTGGCTTAATGGTAACGGAGTATTTGTGGAGCCATCTATGTGTAAAATCAATTACTAAATTAAGTACAGTGGGCATGACATGTACCCACATGCCATTCCCAGTTGCATATAGTTAAAATTCTATTCAAATCCTCTATGTAGGAGAAATCACAATACATTCCCAATAACATGAGGGAAACTGACACTTCTTCTACTACTAATGCTGTAATCTATTTCATAATGTAGCACAAAGAATCAATAATTTAAGCAGATCTAATAAATTTCATTCACAAAAAATGGAAGGAAAACAAAGAAAGAAAAAAATCTGTTCAGACTAACTAGATGCCAGAAACAAGTCTGTCTTACAATAAGAAACTCACAACTACAAAGAACAAGAACAAGAACAATTAAAACAATAATAAAAATATATCAAAACTTGAGAATGCATCCTGGCAAGCCCTGCAGGAGCAGTGTTACGACCAGTACAGCCGCCTTCGCATCTGCTTGTATCATGAGAGATGATGGTGTGCAAAGTGGAATACTGAGAATAAATGAGTAAAATGTGATAGTTGGTTTTTTAAAATGATTATGATTGATAGTGGTGATGATTGATTCTGATTGGGAGGAGGAGAAAAGGAGACATATGATGAGATGACATGACATGATGACGATTGATGATGACTGATGACAAAGAGGAAGACAACCATGACAAAATCATGAATCATCCTAGAATATTCATTATTAATACTATTTATAATTATTTTACTTTTAATATCAAATATACATTGCCATTTTGTTAAAGATAATTGAATTTATTACTTAGTGAATTCGAATGGTGATATGCACTACTTGCAACTTCATCTATTTTCTCATGACATAATAACAAATTAAAAAAATATTAAAACAATGAAAAATATTTCTGAATCATGACTAATGCAAAAGAAGTAATACTTAAATTTTTTTACAAAAAACAGTCTTCTGGCCAAACCAGACCTCATGAACAATGCGTAAAGCTGAACGGAGAATTTGCTGGACCTGTCAGGTAGAGAGGCTTGTGGCCTGACGAGTGTTCCTGTCTCGAATTGAAATTAATATAAGTTTATTCAGTACTAATGGGTAGGAATAACAATGGATTGTTCCAGCAGTAGGTATGTACTTAAGTTTATATGCACATTATTAATTTTGCTTGTATTTTGTATGGGTTATGAATTAACCATTGGAGTTTTTATTTTTATTAGAAGTAATTGTTTATAATATTCTTGCTATTGTGGTGG